GGATTTTACCACTGCACTATCTAACCACAAGTGCGTGTACTGGAACAATAAAACGATGTGTAGGCTGCTGCAGGAGGGAACGTTGTTTATGGATTCAATGAAGACAGGAAGTTTACGACCTTAACCTGACCGCAGACCAGACTGTTTACCAGTGGGATAAGAATGCTGTTTTGCGCCCTTTCGTCCAAACGCAACAAGATTAGCGGGAGGATTATAGGTAACCATTGGTTACCGTTAACCGGTGGTAGGTAGAGTGATCGGTACTGTACCGTAATTCCCCAGCGGACCACACCATTTGTGGTAATGAAGGGGTGGTGTTCTTTCTTGGGAACAATAATTACCAATATTTCCGCTGATTAAAAAAAGAAAAATGACGACTAATACTTGTTATGGTGTTCGAAATATTTCTTTATTAGATAATAAGTTGTTCAACGTCACAATATATATTTTTTTTTCTTGAAATGTATTCAAGAAACGATGTAAAATGAAAAAAGGGGACTGAATCACCCCTTGCAAAATTAATTGATTCGCCCATGAAAATGTTAGCATCGTTCCCTACGGCGCTACAGGACAAGATCTTTGGTTTTGATTTTTTGAAGAAAGTTACGATCGAAACTTGAACTTTCAACGTAATTACTCGCTAGTAATCACACAAATTTGATAAGTTTTGAGGTAAAACGGGACCTGTTTAGTCTTAGGGCAAAACAAATCAGCAACTGTTTTCACAAAAGCAAGATTTGTAGCGCTCACCGGCGCAGGCTGCCGGGCCATGCATTAACTTTTAAGGCCGGGGACCGGACGGGGCAGCCGGCAGTAATTCCCGTAGTTTATTTCTCAGGCCAAACAAAAAAAATGGTGTGTTTATGGTAACGGCCTGAAAAAAATCCAGGTAGGTAGGTAGGGAAATAATTTTATTTTGTAAAATTTTTTTTTTATTTCAGTTCTGCATGCCCATGCGTGTTCTTTCGCAAAAAAATTGTATAAAACCACTATTCAAGCATTGAAGATATTCAATCGATACATTTCAATCCAAATTAATTTGTATCGTCGGCCAGGGTTCTCCCCAGGATTTTTACAAACGTGTGGGGGAAGATTTGCTGTGATTCAACAACCCGAAAAGGTTTGAACTTTAGAAGCTCTCTGGTGTATTTTAGAGCTAATCTGAGGGTCTTTATCTTAAGATTTGTCATTGAAATTCAGAGGAGATCTTGTAGGTCACTAATATTTTTGTAATTAAAGAACAAAAATCAAAAAATTAACATTTCACAACCTGTGTTTCATTGCTTCCTAACTAGAAAAGTATGAATTACATTTACATGTAAGTTTAAAATTAAGAAATTAAGGTGGAGAAAAAAACAACTTTTGCTTCCGATTACATGCCTTTCAAAATAGCGTCAGTAGGTCAAAAAATTATTTCGCCAATTTTTTTTGGGGTGCTGATTAATGGAGCATCATTCGTACTAATCATAGAGCAAGGAATCATGTTTATTTTGTGCCTGGGTTATTTTCATATGCGCCACGAAAATTATCAAGACTGGCTATCAAAAGTGATTAAAACTTGCCTCACCTAATTAAAAATATATTTGAGGTCGGTGATTCCACTATATGCTTAACATACATCACGGCCGCTGGCACCACCAACATTCCGCCTGGCTGGCCCAACATCGCGCCGTGCTCACGGCCCACGTGGCCGAAAATCTTGCACTACTGCAGAAACACGCTACGATGTTTCACCACAAGTTGGAGCTTTGCAATCTCGTCATTTTAATGGAAAACACATACACAGAAAGTAAAGATCACGTTCTGTGAATTAATTCGCAGAAATTCTCTTTCTCCAGCGATGTTTATTTGGTAATATTTTTACGATCCAACTTCGGCCCACTACATCATCGTGCTGTATGATACAAAGTATGGACCGGAGAGAGGCAGTAGTCACTGGTTCCGGTCCTTCATCATACATTGATTCCGTTAGCTGGCGAAGGGAACCAGTGTACCATGCTGTATGTTAGCTGGGTGCTGCTGGTGGTCGACAGAACACGTCATCGTGTGCATTTTGATCACACATGCATCGGAAAAACAGGATTTTGGCCAAGATTTTGAAATAATGGCGTATGTAATGATCAAATTGTGCATTTTAATGGCGTGTATGATAATTATATTGTGCGTATCAGGGGCTAAAAAATGTGATCGGCATTTTTTTGTCGGCGTATCGGGCCGGCCGCAATTCCAGCATATCGGACCGATACGCAGAACGCACGTTTGTACGTGGGGAGAACCATGCCGTCCGTCGGCCAGCCAGGCGTACCCCGATGCATTTGTGCAAAAATAATCGTACTTCGTAGTTTGAGAATTCAAGTTTTTGAGATCGTCGCGATTTTTGCACGTTTAACACAGGTATGTTTGTGTCAAATCATGGTCAGATTCAAGTGTGAAAAATGTTTTGTTCGTGGCAAATAATTAAAAGTACTTGAAATGTTTGAAATTTGTCAATTATCAACCTTCAAAATGGCAATAAAAAGTTTGAGGTCGGCAATTTGGCCGAAAAAATTCCAGGTCGGTCGGGTTACCGTAAACACACCATTTTTTTTGTTTGGCCTCATCATCAATTTCCATAATTGTTTGTAAGAGTATCGATTGTAAATGATTTGATATAACTGTTGTGGCCCTTTTTATAGCTTTGTAGTGTAAATGGAACTGGTTCAGAGCATTTTGACTAGAATTTGGAGGCCTTACAAAATTGAAACCGCTGCTGTCGGTGCGGCTTATACGCCGGTGCAGCATATACGCCGACTTCAGATCTTAATTTGCAGATTTTTGCATGCTGCGGCTTATACGCCGCGCGGCTTATATTCCGAAAATTACGGTAGTACCTTTAATGTATTTGTGTATTATCAGAAACGAGTAGAGACAGATTAAAGAGGACTTAGACCCTGGTAAGTTCATCTGTTATGATTTTATTTATTTTTTTATACCAAAATATATCGCGATATATATCGTATCGTTTGATATGTATCGTGATACGTATCGTATCGTGACACAGGCATATCGTTTCAACCTTAGTGCTGAATTACGCTGGCTGTGTCGATACAACTATGTTGTCAGTTTTGGTGGACCATTGTGGAATGTTTACTGATGAATCTTTTCAACCTTTTTTTTGACAAATTTAAAAACAGTCTACCAAAACTGACGACTTGTTACGGTCTTAAACAGAGTGTTATAATATCTCTCGAACACATATTTATCCCTTATTTATATTACAGTCGTTTTGCTAGTTCCGGATCGCTTCAAATAAAATGTGTCCCCATGCAGTATGTACTGAGAGCAGCAGCGTGTCGCATAACGCGCACGCGCCAGTACATGCTGCAAGATTTGAGGCAATGATTATAACATGTATACATATGCGTCTCCCTCTACAATGGAAATTCTAATTGTACACAATTTTTTTTGTGCACAAACCAATTGCGGTCCTGGCCATGCCCGCAAGGTTGTCAGGTTAGCGGTTATTCCTCCTTTTTTCACTGCAATTGTAGGCTGAATCTTCATCGTGGATCGTTTTTTACTTCAAGGACCTGTGTAATGGTTATTCCAGGCAAGTTTGGGGTGAGTTGCAGTTGCAATTAGTGTGTAACGGGGACAAAATTGAACATTTTCCAACATTTTTTTCAATTTTTTTTGGGACCTGCCTACGCTGCTCGGTTACGTAAAAAAATAAGCTCCAGCCCTAGATGACAACCCAATGATAAAATTCAGGGCTGGATAACTCCAGCTAGGTAAAAGTGTCCTCCCTGGCCCGTTAATTCTGTCCCCCTCCAGGTAATTCTGTCCCCTCCAGGTAATTCTGTCCCCCAGGTTTTTTTATCCCCCTCTTTTGAAACCTGGAAGGTTATTGTTTTGATGAATTCACTCTATAGATCTACAAGGTATACATTTTGGACTTTTAGTCTGCCCTTCATGAATATAAAAAATATTTAATTTAGTCTATTAGATGATACGTGAACACAATGTTTTGATTCGGAGTACGGTGAAGTCTATAAGCTCCAGCCCTAGATGACAACCCATACTCCTAGAACTATGAGGCTCCGCGTGAGCGGAGCCTCATAGATCAAGAAGCCCGCAAAATTGCCTGCAGCACAAAACACTAATAAAGTACAAAAACGTCCATCAAAATGCAGCCATTTCACACAGAACCACTGCACAGTTTGCCCCTATACTCCGTACTTTATCTCTTGACATACTCACGTATCTTGTGCGGAACTAACATAGGTGGATTCTGTCGGTTTTTAGGCCAAAATGATGAAAAATATGCCCTTTCCGCATTGAGCCAACCTGACACTTGAAACGTGCACGCATTATGATCGAGCGATGATTTTCGGTTCGCTCGGAGCGCGCCGCGGGGGGTACGGTACATGCACTTGTACGCAGCACATACTATCATTTCGCCTGTACCGTACCCCCCGCGGCGCGCTCCGAGCGAACCGAAAATCATCGCTCGATCATATGCGTGCACGTTTCAAGTGTCAGGTTGGCTCAGTGCGGAAAGGGCATATTTTTCATCATTTTGGCCTAAGATACGTGAGTATGTCAAGAAATAAAGTACGGAGTATAGGGGCAAACTGTGCAGCGGTTCTGTGTGAAATGGCTGGCTGCATTTTGATGGACGTTTTTGTACTTTATTAGTGTTTTGTGCTGCAGGCAATTTTGCGGGCTTCTTGATCTATGAGGCTCCGCTCACGCGGAGCCTCATAGTTCTAGGAGTAGACAACCCAATGATAAAATTCAGGGCTGGGTAACTCTGGTACCATGACCAGACTGGGACCATAAGTGCAGCTAACTTTTACCTAGGTAATTCTGTCCCCCCCCCCCTCCCCGGACACTTTTACTGGGGGACAGAATTACCTTCCACACCGGCAAACCTTTAGTAAACATTAGTTTGCCGGCATTACCTCCGGCAAAATATCCACTAGGCCTACTAGGCCTAGGCCCTATCTTATTTTTATTACCTGGATCCGGGTTGGTAGGCCTATTTAGATGATATTTGGTCTTTCCGTCCTCGAAACTATCTTTTGAATCACAATTTCCTTCTTCCATGTGACATTCCCATTCTTCAGCAAGCACTATCTTTTGACGATACACGAGAGTTAGTATGATTAAGACAGTGTAACATGCACGGGGAGAATACGAGTAGGCGTCCATGGCCATGTTTATGGGGAAAACATGCAGACTCGCCCGTTGATATGATATGTACGCGTTAATAGATCTGGCTCAGGTAGCTACGGATTCGGCCGGATTTCTGGCTGCGTATTCTAGCCGCGCATTCGCCAAAAGTCAAAGAATCTATAATACATGCGGCAAAAGGTGATCTATAACCAGAAAGATAACTCTTTTATTCAACGAACTTTTCAAATTAACGGCACATAACAATATTCTTCCACGCCGTATCAAAATACACAACATGAGCTACCATTTCATCAACCATTATTGAAATTTTGATGCAATAATTACAACTAAATTAGCTGCATAATGAGAATCATCACATTTCGCGCAAGTTTTCAACGCTTTTAGATGTTGGAAAGTTAATGTATCATTTGAAACAAAGTCTACCTCACATGTTGTCAAAAACTCATAATTTTATTGCATAATCTACGAGATCATGTGACTGGGCACACTTAATTTTGGTATTGGCTTCAGCCGAACACTAATTAGTGCCTTATATTGCCCGTTAAAGTGACCCCATTTTCCCGGCACTATCAGAATGCATTCTTTTAAACTGCGTATATCACTGCTCCTTTAAAACAGGTGTACCTCCTCACGTTGCCAAAAACCCATAATTGTATTGCATAATCTACGAGCTCATGTGACTGGGCACACTTAATTTTGGTATTGGCTAGAGCCAAAAAGTAATAGTGCCTAATTAGCCCGTTAAAGCTACGCCATTTTTACTGCACTATTGTAATGCGAATTCTGCTGCGTATATCACTACCTCTTTAAAACAAAGTGTACCTCACATAATTTTTGCCAAACAAACTTGCAGTTTTATTTTATAATCTACGAGATATACTACAATCATGTACACTATATTACTGTACCGTATACAAATGCCCCGGATTTTGTTTTAAGGGAGGGGGGCACCGTTGGCATGTGACGTCATTTGTTATTTGTCCACCCACTGACAGTTTGCAGTCCAAACGTCACGAGCCTGCCGCACCCTTGAGGCCAACACAGGCGCGGATCGGGGGGGGGGGGTAAGGGGTCGACCCCCCCCCCCCCCCCCCCCAGCTGTGACACCATCCCCAACAAAAACATACAGGTATAATGTCCGTCTGTTCAAAATACGGACAGAGGCAACTTAGATAGGGGTATTATTTTGTACACCATTCTGTAATCCAGGGTTAATAATCGTCGAATTTTAACAGCGCCCCCTATGGTACCCCCAATTTATGATTTTACGGAGGCCAAGTGTCCGGAGAAAAAAAACCTGTGTACATTTTCAGATTTGTTTGCTGATGAAACCCCCTCCTGCGAACATTCCTGGGTCCGCCATTGCAACAGTGGCGTAAATCTATGCCGGGGACTGGGGGATGGGGGATAGCTAAACCCCCCAAAAAAATCGGGCCGTGAAATTCAAAAAGGGGGGGGGGGGGGGGGCTTGCTGGAGACCACATGACACTGGGGGCGCTGTTCATGATACAGATATATCAGTGGATTTCAAGCTTTTTGTACTTCTTGTACTCCTTTTCTCAGTACTATTTAATACATTTCGGCGGTTGGAAAGTTTGAAAAATACCTAAAAATCTGCCTTTTTTTTCTCTAAAAACGAAATGATGGGAGGGGGGGGGTGATCCAATAGCCCAGCCCCCCTCCCCGGTCAAAAAGTGGGGCGGGATATATAGGACATAAAACAAACATTTGTGTACACCTTTTCCCCATACTGATAATTAATCGGTTGATTTTTGATACTTTATCGGTTGATACAGTATCGTGCAGGGAAATGGGGTCAAGTTTAACGGGCTAATTAGGCACTAATTAGTGTTCGGCTGAAGCCAATACCAAATTACATATGCCCACTATAGCATTATCTCGTAGATTATGAAATAAAATCTTACTTACTTCAACATCTCTAAAAGCGTTGGCAAATTGCGCGAAATGTGATGATTCCAATTATGCAGCTAATTTAATGGTGATTATCGCATCAAAATTTGAAATGAAATGGTCCCTCGGATGTGTAGTTTGATACGGCGTGGAAAAAAACTATTGTTATTTGTCGTTTATTTTGAAAAGTTCGTTGAATAAATGAAGTTGTCGTGCTGGAAAATAGATCACCTTTTTCCGCATGTGTTATAAATTTTGTTTTACTTCTTGCGAATGCGCGGCTAATACGCGGTTGAATACGCGGCCGGAAATCCGGCCGAATCCGTGGCTACCTTGAGTCAGGTCAGTGCGAGCGAAATGTTATACCAGCGAACTCTAGCATTCGGACGACAGAGGGCGTTATTTCGGCGGTAGTCTCCCATGCGTTGCAAAATTTGAGTCCGGCTTGCTCGAGCTCTTAAACTAAAAAATAAAACCTACACCGTAGGGCGGCCTACTAGTACTACTACCCTACTACCGCCCGGTACCGGTAGCCTACTAGTATTCAACTGTCTGTAGACTAGTGCAGGGGTCATTTAGGTTTCGAGGTAAGTATCTCTTTGTTTAGCTTGACTCAACTCCAGGAGCACGTTTTGGCGGCCCTTGAACTGGAACATGTTTCTGGCGTCACAGCCGTGACCTGAAACATGTTTCCTGTGCACCGCGAAAACGACTGACCGGAAAATCGTTCATGACGTCATGTTACTACAGTCAATTGACCGGTTCCGCAATCGCAAATCGTCTGAAGCGTCTTGTGGCGAAAAAACGCGCTTTCACAGGAAGCTACCTATCTATAAATTTGCGCAAATTACTCACCTACTTCATGATATGAATAGTTTTCTGCGATCGTTTGAAAGAGAAATTTGCCAGGACATTTTGTAGAGGTCGGTGCTTTGACAGGTTCCGCAAACGTTTTCCGGTTTCGCAAACGGCGCCCTCTGTGAGACTGGACTGAAAATATTCCTTGTTTACTGGCCAAATCTATATCGTTTTTGCCCCGAAACCAGCCAAGAAAAGATGTGGATTATATTTCCCTGTGCATGAGCCAAGGTCTGCACATTATAATGCGTCCAAATTTACAAAATGTAACTCCATGAAGTTGTTATGGGGTCATTCCGTGTCAAATCAACACGCTTTTGGACCCGACCCTCACAGATTGAAACAATATTTGGTGTGATGATTGGCCTATATGAGAAACCCCCAGAACTGATCTTTTTTGTAAATTGACTCGTTAGTTTTTGAGATACGGGTCAACGAACTTTTGACTAATTAGCATGACCTCCGAACTTTAAATACTTGTATCTCAAAAACTATAGTGCCTACAAAGCCAAGTTGTACATCATATTAAAGTTCTTTGAATGGCCTCCATTTCATTAAATAAAACCAAAATCGTAGCATGAAGTGCAGAGAAAATGCGTAACAAAATGACCTTTGACCTCAAATTACGAAAAACAATATGCTTCAAATTTTGTAATTTTTTTTCAAATGTTAGTTTATGATGTCAGCAACAATCTTTAAAAAAAATTGGGATGGGCGGTCTTAAAGTTTTTAAGTTATGATTTTTTGAAGAAAGCCTGTCCATGAAAAAGTATGCATAATAATGTACATGTACATGTATATGTATACATTGTACTTGTACTGTGTACATGTGCACATTTTACCTGTGCATCATGTTTGCCCTTTACAACCGCATAGTCTCAACTCATATCCAAGTCAGGTGTGTTTACAAACACAAATTTATGCCCCGCAACCGTGACTGTTCCCATGACATAACACCACTCTTTTAACATCAACTTACACGTACGTACCTTGGTCACATGGAACGTTCATTGACAGCATTAGTGTCTTCTGTAGGTTTTATATGAATTAATCCCTAATCCCTATGATCTCAGAATAAATACAAGATTTTTATTGTTTTAGCCACTGTGACCTTGACCCTTGACCTTTGGACCCCAATGCGATAGGCCTATTTGGATTACCAAGAACGATCCACAAACCAAATTTGAAGTTCACATGTAAAGTATTTCTCAAGTTATCGCACTAACAAAATTTCTTTTGTTTTAGTCACTGGGACCTTGACCCTTGACCTTTCGACCCCAAATGCAAAAGGGTTCTTAGGATTACCAAGAACAATACACAAACCAAATTTGAAATTCATATGTTAAGTATTTCTCAAGTTATCGTGCTGACAAGATTTGTCCGGACACACACACACACACCCACACACGTTTGTTTTACATACGCTATGTGGACATTCCTTTGTTTTCGTGTAGTTAAGAAAACTCGGTACATAAAATAACTTCACTTAAACTGTGAAAACTCTTTTAACCCAATTTTTTTTCTATGATTCCCTATAGTGTTTCTCTTCATTCTGCTACGGATAAACCTAACCCAAAAATGCCTTTATACCTGTTTTTCAGAAAGGGCAAAACGTTATGTGGACACGGCTTAGTCCACATAATAAAAACACAACCTGCATTATGTGGACATCTTTTGTTCACAAATCCACATAGGGAATGTAAGACAAACTCACCCCCACACACACCCACCCACCCACCCACACAGACTTGTTTCACATACCTAGTGTGGACTTTCCTTTCTTTTCGTGTAGTTAAGGAACACCAGTGGAAAAACTCATTTTTCTCAAACTGTGAAAACTCTTACAACCCAATTTTTTTTCAATGATTCCCTTTAGTGTTTCTCTTCATTCTGCTACAGATAAACCTAACCCAAAAATGCCTCTAAACCTGTTTTCCAGAAATGGGGAAACACTGTGTGGACGTGGGCAAGTCCACACTTCGTCGCTGCTACCTACATTATGTGGACGTCTTTTGTTCGGAAGTCCACACTGCGTATGTAAGACAAGCTCACCCACACACACACACCCACCCACCCACCCATACTTGTTTCACATGACTAGTGTGGACTTTCCATTGCTTTCGTGTAGTTAAGAAAAACCAGTGAAAAAACTCATTTTTCTCAAACTGTGAAAACTCTTTCAACCCAATTTTTTTTCTATGATTCCCTTTAGTGTTTCTCTTCATTCTGCTACAGATAAACCTAACCCAAAAATGCCTCTAAACCTGTTTTCCAGAAATGGGGAAACACTGTGTGGACGTGGGGCAAGTCCACACAACGTCGGTGCTACCTACAT